ATCACAATACAGTTACATACGTATACAAATACGTGTACAAGTACAATATACTAAACCCTATATTTTACATGCCCCCTCAATCTGAACTACATACAAGATTCAGATTGGTTCTGAAGCGGTCTAGCATCTGTCTAGTAGCGGGTTTAGTAAATACATCCTCTAACTGATCATCTGTAGAAATAAACCTGACTTCCAGTTCACAAGCAGCTACCTGGTATTGTGCTCTGATACCATGTTAAACACATGGTTTAGGGTTTTGCGTGGGTGGTTGACATCCAGCCTCACGTCTCAATATATAGATGATCACAATACGTATACAAATACATGTACAAGTACAATATACTAGACCCTATATTTTACACCTTGATGGGAGCAAGCGTGTGTTCGTCGGCGCCGTCATGGTTGTTCTGCCCACAGGCACATAAATGGTATGGTTGCTTCAGAAAGCCACAAGGCTTCTAGTTTGTATCTCAGTCAATCTTCTGATTGCTCAGTTTAGCCTGCAAGCTCCTGGTCTAAAACTATCCAAAGTTGAAATGGGAAACATGGCCATACATTATGCATGGGAAATATTGCTCATTCCAAAATAAACTATGGATGTCGGATACCACCGTGAGGCCTTTTTGCTGGTAAACTGTAAAAAAAAATGCGGGGTAGTAAACTGTAATTGGCAAAGTGAAAATCAGAGTTAATATCGTATATAGCAGACATATTGTTCCATCAACTCAAATTTGGCAGAAAATGGATAACAACAGATGCAATCATCATTCTTCGTGTACAAACAAGCACAGACAAAGTGGCAGCAAGAATTTGAGAGCAATTGATCATCTTCAAGAATAGAAAGTACTAAAAACAGAGCAAGTCTATATTCTCAGAAGGCTAATTTTGTACTACGGGACTACTCTGCTCCATGGAGTCAGAGCGTTCGCTGCCGTTACGGACTGGAGAGAATTAAAACAGATTATTAAATTTGGGGAACTTGGATAACAACATATGCAATCCTCATTCTTTGATTATGGAAGCAGCAAATAGAGAGGAACTAAGAATCTCTGGAAAAAACAGAGTACTGAAAAAACAAAGCAAGTCTGTATTCAAAATTGCAGGTGTTCTCATCAGGTTGATCATCCATCCATGTTGTTCCCTAAGAACTGATTTTTCATCTGGGCCAAAAATTGAAACTCCTTCAGAGGTATTGAAATGGCAGTGCAGCTTGCTACTCGCCTCTATTACATTGAAGCCTCAAGATCAATGTGTTCCTCTTCCATTCGCAGTGGAGGAATGTCGAGGTCCTTCTCAGCTTCACCTTGCACCATATCAAGAGGCCACCAGCAAGAAAACTTGGAGAGCTGAACATGATGGCAAATTGCAGCATAACAGCTTAATCAGTAGCAGCATCTTGTGTGGTGTAGTCCATTGCATTTCCCATGCCTTATCCCTAGCTGAAAGGCATTTATAGAAAATACATTAGTTTTATTTCATCAGCAAATGTATTATGTGTTCGGAAGTTGAAAACAACATGACAAATTGAAAGTATATGACGAACACGTAACATGATAACTATATATAAATAACTGACCAGTTATCAGCATGGTCACTTCATGGTACACGTTTTAGAGGCACTTCGACTGTCGAGGCACCACAAATCATCTTTGCTGCTATAGAAGGCAAGAAAACAGAAGAAAATAGAAATGAATTGTACGAATATAATAAACATGATCAGTTGATATCTACATGCAGGTACATAATAAGCCGAGTAAACATCAGACCAATTACCGAAAAAGGCTTTCGCCCAGCCATCTTCCAGCATTTGTAGGCAGATTGCTGATCGGAAAATCCAGGTTGCCTCTCTTCATGATTCATGAGTTGATAATGCCATCTTCCAGACCAGATTGAGAAAGAGGGGCATATATAACAGAGACCAAGTGGTGATGGCGAGATTCCACGAGTGCAGACTGATGCATGTTGTTCCTGTCAGAAATAATTGATTAGGCGAAAAAATTATTTACCAGCATTGCGGATTGAATGAAACAAAGAGGGATGTTTGATCTGTACCGGAAGCTGTAGGGGCGGCTGCAATGGAGCTGGAGAAAGAAATGAGTAGCATCAGGGCATCGACCGGTCATCAAGCATCGTCGTCATTCTCGTCAGAATTGCAGGAGCAGAAATCATCTTTGACTGCTTGTCTGTTACAACAACAACAGAAGAGCATGACATTAAGCATGTTCAGTTGTGTTAAGTCTATACAGGACATCATCAGTTGTGTTAAGTCTATACAGGACATCATCAGTTCAGTCACTCCCTGTCAACAACTGTAAGTACACAACATGTAACAACGTAACATGGTGAACTCTCCTACTACAGGTCACCAAATATGCATCTAAAAGATAATTGCATTCAAGCTTAAATTTAGTTGCACAAACATAACCTCTTACAGACGTTATGACAAACAGTAGGTGTGCATTAAAGAGCAAACGTTGCGAGAAATCAGATGGACTCAAACAAAATCAGTTGAAATCATATGGTGCTGCACCAACATGGCGTCAGAAGACACGGCTGTTGGCGCACTGGCTTTGCCCTAGCTCCCCGGTGCACTCTTTCACTCTCTCTCGCACACCGAAGAAGAAGGGAGGAAGAAGATGACACAGTTGACACGGGAGGATTTTTCCGGCGCACGTACGCTCGCCGCAACCACACCAGTTCCTTTTCTCAAGCACAAACTCGAGCCGCCTCAGCTGTTACAACGGTCACCGCATGGCTTTATACCCCGAGCCAGCGCTCTGGGCACGCAGCCACGCCTCCACTCACCGATCGTACCCACGCTCCACCCGCTCTGGCCGCGCCTGCGACGCGCTCCGACGCGCGTGACTTGCAGCGAGCTCCAACAGAACGGACACGATCGCACCGTGCGGCTCGCCAACAACCTATGCCTACACACACGCATAAGGTGTACTCGTGCACGGACACCCCCGTGCACCACACGCACGCACACACCCACACTTGCCACGGACCTGAGGAGACCCGGTCTGCATCCGACGCGTCCGGCGCGTGCACGCACACGCACCCGATTCGCCTCACCGCGGCTTATTGCAAACAGCGGCAGCAATCAGAAGTAGCAACGGGAAAGGAAACATGGGGAAACGAGCAACACCTCCTGTTAGCTAGAGACATCGCTCGACAGGAAACCCAAACGTACCTAGCAATGCATCAGAACGAAGGAAATAAACAGACGGAAATTCTACCTGCAGCTACCAGGGAAGGCATCGACTTGTACGGAGGATCAGAAAGAAAGAAGAGAGCAGCATCGACCAATCAATCATCAAGCGTCGTCGTCGTCGAAATTGCAGGACCAGAAATCGTCTTCCACCAAAGCAGAGACTTGGACCTCCCTTTTTTCAGGGCGTTGGCTGCTACACCAAGAACAGTTAAGAAACATCATCAGTTCAGTTGATACTTATCTGCTACTGCTAGTGAACGAAAGAGAAAATAGCTACTTAAAACTGTGCATTCTCTAAATCCAAGGCTCGTCACTCCCCGTGGTCATCGTCACGGCAACCACCTGCTGCTGCATGCTCGGGATGGAGAGATGATGATTCCTCCCCCTCTGTTGCTTCATCCACATGTACTACAATAGT